TCTTCGACTGCTGAAATCCTGAAAAAAGAGAGCAGGCAAGGCCTTGTTCAAAATCTTGGGCAAGGCGTTTGATCTCACTGCAGCTTACCGGCAGTGCCAGTCCACCCAGACACAGCCTGGGCAGCGTACGTTTGCTTCGTGCATCCAGACACGAACGAGCGAGTGTACTTTCGGATGAAGGCCATGCCATTTGGATCGGCAATGGCAGTCTACGCTTTCCTTAGGATTAGTCATTCCTTGTGGTTTCTCGGTGCAAAGGCATTGCTTTTGCCTTGGTCGTCGTTTTTTGATGACTTTGTCACTTTTGCGACGACGGAGTGCTCTGCGTCGGCAGAGGCGGCAGTAACGTCAATGTTCAAACTCCTAGGTTGGGCGTTCGCCGAGTCCGGCGAAAAGGCAAATGACTTTTCCGAGTGCTTCCAGGCGCTTGGAATCATGGTGGACCTTCGTGCATGCCTTGATGGCACCATAAGCTTCAAGAACACTGCAAAGCGGGTCTCCGAGATCAGGGCGTTCGTGGGCAAGGTGCTTGAGTCAGGTAGGTTGCCACATCACGAGGCTCTAAGGCTCAGGGGTAGGTGCCAGTTCGCCGATTCGCAAATCTTCGGTCGTACTGGGAAGAAGTGCTTGGGTCTGATCACTGCTCATGCTTACGGCTTTGACGATGTAATCAGTCGCGAACTCAGGGCATCACTTGAGAAGTTCCTGCTCCGGCTCGAGGTCGGGGCCCCGCACTTGATCAAGATCCTTGAGGGCGGATCATGGCATGTGTACACAGATGCTTCGCATGAGCCAGGGGCAGGGCATAGTTTCTGCGGCCTAGGAGGGGTGCTGGTTGATCCTACTGGTGTTCCACGAAAATTCTTTTCACTTGTTTTGAGCGATGCACAGAAAAGCTTTCTTGGCGAGCAGAATTCTGCACAGATCATCTTCCAGGCTGAAATGCTAGCAATGGCAGTGGCACTGGACGTATGGTTGCAGGACTTGATGGGGCACACGGCAATCTTCTTTGTGGACAATAACGGTGTGCGTGACGCAGCTATCTCTGCGAATGCCAGAGCTTCAGTCGCGAGACGGTTGTTGGAGGCGTTTCTGCAGAAGGAACATAACTCCTCAATCATTCCGTGGTTCGCAAGGGTACCATCCCCATCGAACCCTGCAGACGAACCTTCAAAGATTCTGGCTCAAGAACAGTTTTGTTGTAGGTCTTCTTGTGTTTTGGAACCGGGCCCTGGGGCTTAACAGGTTCGGCTTTTAAACCGTGGCCCAACGACGTTTGGTAGTTTTCCTGCGCATGGCATGGACGACTCTCGCATTGGCCCCAACAAGATGCCTCGCCCTTCTGTGCTTGTCTGATTGTTCTGAGCATGTTGCCAGGAAGCAGCACACATCAGACAAGGGAGCCGACTGTACGGCCCCGAGCATGCATACGCGAGACACTCAGGTCGCATCAGCCAAACTTGTGTGTGCTCAGGGACCGCCAGTTCTGTCTAAGAGAGCCCAGCGAGATGAACTGTGCAGGCTGTCACTCCTCCGTGCACAGGAGCGTTTTGATGCACGAGGCCCGCAACGCCAGCAACTTAATCTCGATGAAATGGATTGAAGGTGCTCAGGCTAGCTGCATGGGAGCCGCTGTCGGCCCTAGTATGCCAGAACAAGCCGTACAGGAGCCTGCTCCCGTGCACCATGCCTTAGCCTTAGCCGATGCATCTCTTTGCTGCTCTTGTCAGGACCTACAGGCGAGCATTGAACCAGGAGACACGCCAGCAAAGTTTGCTTGGACCTTAGCTGTCGTTCGTGGTTTTGCCAGCTTATTGCCAACAGGGACTGCAGTGCAAGGGATCACCTGCTCACTTTCGTCTGCGATTTGTTGCCATGTGGACCATGCTTTGCAGCTGCAGTCTTTCCTTAAGCCTGTTTTTGGGGCAGAGCCGAGCATGTCGGCCCCCGGTGGTGCGGAACCGAAGCCCAAGCGGGAGAAGCCACGCTCGCACTACAGAGCTGATGGGACTCGCCGACGCACCTCTGGAGAGAAGCAGGCCCGCAAGGACTGGTGGCATGAGCATCATGCTGGCACGGCTGCTGGGTGGCCTCGGCGATCCCAGCCTGCTGCCACTGCTGCCACCGCTGTTGCACAAAGCTCCACACAGAGGCGGGACCGATGGGCGCCAGCTCGGGACACAGGTTCTGCTGCCTCGGCTCCACCTGACGGAGATGCCGGTTGGGGGTCTAATCTAAGTCACACAAGGTCTGACGAGGACCCCAGGCAAGATGGCCCAACAGCTCAGAGTGGCACAGGAAGGCAGGAACCAGAGCAGCCGACCGAAACCTCTGCCTCGGACACCAAAGTGCCCAGCCAGGCTAGCACTACGATGGCTGCACAGGATAGACGCACCCTTTTGCTGCGGCTTCCGGATGGCATTGGAATTCCGCAGCTCGCCGCTCAGCTGGACGACATCAAGAAGGACTCTGGGCTTTTGCAGGTACTTCTCTCCGCCCGCCCCTCCAAGGAGGGGCGGTGGACGCTCCTACTGGATGGCACATTGCAGCAACAGGACAGGGCAAAGGCCATTGTGCAAAATATCATGGAAAAGGCACAGAATGAGTCGCAGCTTGCACCACCTGGCGAACCACCCCGACCTCATGCATCGACCGAGGCGAGCACTAATGGACCAGCATATCTCCCACTGCAGCAGCTGCCACCGCATCCGAGCACAGCTGATGAAGCACTGGACTCAGGCCTGCCAGGAGTATCAACGACGTCGGCGATCACAGCATGCAGGGACACAGCTTCAGGGAGTGCCGACCCACCGGCCCCCGATGTCACTCAGGATGGGTGTGTACAGACCTTGCAGCAGCAGAATGTAGCTGAGACTGCCGAGCAGGGTTCCGACAGTGCTGCATACATGCTTGCATCTCTGGCACTTCCTGTCTGGACATGCGACCCGCGCTATAGCACACAGCATGCTGCTGTCAAAGCCCCCTGCCAAGGTCCACCATGGATATCCGGAACAGGAGCCAGGCCAACCCGGGCTCTTCATTGGACGTCGGCACCGCACGACTGGACACAGGCTGTGGATGGCCCCATCGGCCCCACCCTTGGTGAGCCGTGGCCCGAGCCCGAACCGTGGATGTGTCTCTGTCACACAGAGGTCTTGGATTCACTTCTCGGCCCCAACCTTGGGGAGCCGCCGGCGTCACTGCTCCCCTGGATTGTCGTGTTCACTTTCTGTGCTGCTAGGCTGCCACCCCTGGGACAACGACGAGGCCGAACACACAGGCCAACCTTATGGCTAATGTTCAGCAGCCTGTGGCGCCCTGGCACTTGGTCCCGAGGACATTACATGATGCACCGCATTTGCCCTTGCAGGTATCATAGACAACGCCTAGCACGTGGCAACCTCAGCCAATGGAGGAGAATAAAGGCGGCACACTTTGGACCGAAGTTGCAATCCAGTGCTGCTGGCTGCCTTAGACTGTGCTGGGGTTTACTTGCCATTTCAGCTTCGCTGCAGCTGCTGGCGGCCCTACTCCTCTTTCTCACCCTGCCTTTTCATTCTGCACCGGGGCAGTGTTCATGGGGAAGAAGGCTACAAAAGATGCGCCTCCGAGAGCACGGTCGCGCAGCAGCACAGGCACAGCTGCATCCAAAGCCAAGGCGAAGGCGGCACCCAAGGCCAAGCCAAAGCCACGATGTCGCTCAGGGCCACCAACGAAGGCGAAAGCGAAAGCTAAACAAACAATCACAGCCCGGGTTCCTTGCACTCATCGCCGAGCTGAGCCTGAGGACTCCACATCGCCATCGTGGTTCACAGACAGCAGTGATATATCCTCCAATGCCACAAGCTCGATGGAAGAGGTATCGGTCGCTGCACCAAGCTCCACTGAGCTCGATGCCAAAGCTTCTGGCACCTGCCTGGCTCAGGGGATGGCCACTGGAACGCTCGACGACTCAAGCGAGGACCTGGGAAGGGAGGACACCGATGATGATAAGGACACAGCTGGGCCTCCCTCCTCCGAGGCACCCATGGCGAACCCTGGAGACATGCCTGCAACAACTGGGTCAGTGGGGAGAGTGGTCTCCCGCGGCCCACAGATATGCGCCAAGGTGGCACCGAAGATGCTCGTCCGAGCAGGCTGGCGATGCGCCAGATGTTACAAGATTAAGAGCCAATGTGTGCTCACTGGATGCTGGCCCGACTTCGAGCGGCAGTAAAGTAGATCGTTGCATCCAGAAACCAAGGCGGCAAAATCAGGACCGAACGCAGCTGCACTTTTTAGCTCATCTGCTTGGACCTTTCGCCATGAACTTCAGTCTGCATACTCCAGTCCTGAGCTTGGCGACTGCTGTCGCAAATCTCATCAAGCACTGGTACTGTGTTCTCTGTTTGATAGCGAGCTACATATATCCGACCAGCCGGAGCCCCAGCCCGGACCTAAGCCAACAAGACGAGACCTACACATGCACCAGATATGTTTCGAGCTGCCCCGGTCCCAAATCCGGGGACAACTTCCCTAGAACCAAGCCACGTGGAGTCCAGGTACTACATTGGCATCGGCGACTGCTCTTCGGGGCTCTCGTCTTAACTCAACTTCAGGCAGCAAGGGGAGTTGGAGAATCGAGGGTTGAGACCCACACCAGCGGGGTCTCGGGAACGGGATGTTCACCACCAGGTCTTACAACTCCGACCCGTGAAGGCGCTGGCACAGCTACTCCATACAATGCCCGATCCCCAGATGCTCTTGTGTACCCTTGGAGTGCTAAAAGAGCATATCGTCGAGCTCGCGCACGAGCTGCTAAAGGACCCACTATGTACAGAGGCTCACTGTGCAGTGCCAGTGAATTGCAAGCACAGTACGGCAAACCACTGCCCCCGCGCGAGCCCAGATCTACTTCGACAGCACAACAAGGGAGCCGTGGTCGGCCCCTCACCACCGCCAGGCACCCGGCCACTCGGGTTCAGGTTCTTACCTTCAATGTGTCTGGCTTGTCCAGTGCAATGTGGCAGGAATTTCAGGCCTGGCTCAGTACAGCGGAAGCACTGCGATTTGACCTTATTCTCCTTCAGGAGACTCACTGGACGAGCTGGTCAGACTTCACCTCAGGTAAGTGGCACTGTGTTGGCACACCCATTGCTGATAAAGACAAATGCTCAGGACTAGCGACACTTGTGCATTCGAGGCTGGGCCCCTCCGAAGCTATACAGTGCAAGACGTATTTGAAGGGACGGGTCCATCACACCAGGATCCACCAGCAATTCGGCGCAATAGACGTGATAAACGTCTATCAGCACGTCTGGCGCAGCCACCACACCACGGCCCAGAACCAAGCAGCCAGGACCTCAGTGTATCGTGCGATTGGGCAAGCTTTAGGTTCCTGCCCCTTGCGACACACATGCATTCTAGGCGGGGACTTCAATGCAGAGGTTCATGAACTTACACCGCATGTTGGCAGAGCTCTCCTGCAGAAGCGGGGGCATGACGGAGACAAGGACGCAGGCGAAGGCCTGCCGGAGCTCCTGCAAACCCATGGGCTCTGTCTCCTGAACACTTGGCACGGTAGGAATAAGGCCACCAACCTTACAAGTGGGGCCCTTAGCCAAATTGATTTCGTTGCCGTTCGAGTACAATGGGCTGATCGACTGGCCAAGCAGAGCGACTCTCTACCAGCATGCCCCGTCGGAGCCTGGAAAGCCAACCGGCACTTCCCCGTACAGGCCTCCATCAAACTGGTGTCACCTTGGCACCTGATTCGGCAGCCGAAGCCAGCCGGTGCAATGATTGACAAAGCTGCCATGCAAGACTCGATCGCTAGGCAGGACACCCAGGCCCAACAACTCCGATCTCAGGTTGCACACGACCTGTCTCAAATCCCAGACGCATTGAGCCCCGGTGAGCTTACAGTCAAGGTAGACAGTATCCTGATTCGGAGAGCTGAACAGATGTACCCAGCCCGAGGCAGGGAAGACCGACGAGTAAGCCAAGACCCCCAATTTACTCTTTTAACCAAAGAGCTATGGAGTCTTTACAGGTCGTATCGGTCCATAGGCAGATGCAATAGGCAAAACATCCTTCGAAAATGGCGGTTGTGGACCCAGTTTAAGCGAGCATCCAAACAGCTGCGAGACCAAGCCAAGAAGATCAAACGACAGAAGATCCAAGACATCATGGGTGAACTGGAGCAGGCGGCCAGGCGAGGGGACCAAGGAAGCACCTATGCGGCCGTTCGTAGACTGGCCCCCTGGAAGCCAGTGGCTAAGCCCAGCATCCGTGGGCCGTCGGGCGAGCTCCTCACGCCAACACTCCAGTTACAGGCTCTAACGGTGTACGCCCAGGACAAATTTTGCAAGGGCACCGACTACCGTCCGACAGGTGTGCTCCTGGAGGGTCTAGCCATCACGAGTGATCAACTTCAGTCTGCCCTTCGCAGGTTGCCGATTCGGAAGGCAGCGCCGCCGGGAGCGGCACCGTCTGCATTATGGAAAAACAGCGCCGAGGACCTTGCTGAGACCTTCTTTTGCCCGGTCACCCACATGTGGAGCTCAGGTCAAACTGGAAGTGCACCCTCCATCTGGAAAGACGCCAATATGGTCTGGATGCCGAAGCCCAATAAGGATCCCAGCCTGCTAGCCAATCTTAGACCCATTGGGTTGGTACACCCCATGGGCAAATCCATCTGCACCCTGCTTAGGTCCCGACTGCTGCCCGTCCTCACACAGGCATTGATTACACGCCCGCAGTTTGCGTATGCCAAAGGTAGATCCACTTTGGACGCCTTGTTGCGAGCACATGGGCACCTCACTCGGACAAGCCAGGAGATCGAAGCTCAGCGTACATCCATTTATGCAAGACATTCCGGCCAGGAGCCCAAATCTTGTTTTGGCGGCATTTGCTTCAGCTTAGATCTCAAAGGTGCTTTTGATGCGGTTCCGAGACACAGGTTGGCCGAGAGTCTGTTCAGACTGCAGGTGGAGCCGGATCTAGTACATCTCATCATGCAACAACTGCACCAGTCACAGTGTTGGACAAGGATCGGAGCCGATATCCGGCCCGTAATGCCCACCCAAGGCATAAAGCAAGGTTGCAACATTGCACCCTATTTGTTCATTGCGTATACCATCCTGCTCATTGATAGAATCGGTGAAAGCACACCAAACGGATGGACGGAGGATGGACTCACCTGGTACGCGGACGATGCCTTTGCCGCCTGGAAAATCCAAGATGCTGCCAGCCTTCGCCAGGCACTAGGGGACATCCAGCTTATTATTACAGTCCTTGAGGCACACGGCATGGCGATCGAACCAAGCAAATGTGCTGTGCTGTACAACCTGCAAGGCCATGAAGTCAAGAAAATCCTCAGGCATGCTAAGGTGAGACGCCAAGAGCAAACTTACCTGCTGGCCCGGGAGTCTCCTGAAACATTGGTGCCGATCAAGAAACACCATGAATACTTAGGCACGATCCTGGCCTACAGGGACCCACAGACACTTACCTTGCAACATCGGCTCAGCAAGGCCCGGGGACAGTATGCATTGCTGCGGAAAACACTTCATGCCAAGAGGCTTGTCACACGCAAACACCGTTACCGCATTTGGAAGGCAGGAGTCCAGGCCAGCGCATGCTACGGGTTACTAGCCACCGGCCTCACCGTCACAGGCCGTACGCAACTTCTCGCCATGTCGGCAAGGCAGCTTCGCTCAATAGCAGGTCGCCCAGCACATCTAACGCATGAATCCAATGCTGAGATTAGGAAATTGTTCGATTGTGTCGAGTGGACCGAAGATCTGCTCACGTTGGCTAAGAACCGGCTCGCCGAACTTCGCACACTGCAGGCGACACAACCTGAGAACATTGTTGCCAGGCCCCAGGCACTGCAACAGCTGACACATGCTATGGAAACCTTCCAGCAGGTGATTCCGATCGAGCGGCCCAAGCAGGACGGCGTGGAGGGAATAGGCGTGCCGTGTCCGGTTTGTGGGGTTTATTTTGATAACCTGACTAGCGTTCGCAAACACCTTAGGCGAAAACACCCTGAATTCCAGAGGCCAGAAATCAAATTCGACCCGGCCGTACATGCCATTGGAGGCCTGCCGCAGTGTGCAGGATGCAAGCACAAGTTCCAGAGTTGGCAAGCACTAAAGACCCACATTGCAAAAGGTCAATGCCACCAGCAGGGAGAGAACAACCCGGAGCCGAGTACCGGCCCTGCACTGCCTGTGGCCCCCCCTCCGGTTAACATCACCCCGGCAGCCCAGGCCACGGAGGAGCAGCCACGATTGCCACCGCATCGAAATCTTAAAGTCGCGGCCTTGATTCGTGACCAAGGGTGGGAAGTCCTGGTGAACAGCGAGCATGCAGAGGACTTAAAACAGCACTGCTGCATTTGTGCCAGATGGATGGTTGACACAACGTCCATCAAACGACACATGCGATACTCCCATCCTGAAATTTGGAAGCAGGTCTCGGAGCGGCTCGAAAGCACCTGCTCTGTCTTCAAGCCCCGGCTCACGCGAGATGGTATCTGCCCGTACTGCCAACGCACTTCCTATAGTCGTCACTTTAAGCAGTGCTGTGTCATCCTTCAGTCTGCGATCCTTGGACTCATTCCCAGCCATGGCCACAACCCAGGAACAGATCCAGATGTTCGGCTACCTGCTGCCGGGCCTGAGCGAGTCCAACAAGAGACCTCCAGCCACGCCGCAACAGCAGAACAACAAGGGAGACGAGTCCGGCAAAGACGGGGGCAAGAGACGACGCGCACGCCGAGGACAGGGGGGACAGGGGAGCCGAAACTCGGCCCCAGCAGAGGCACTGACGAAGGATGGCGGCAGGCTCCTCAATCTGATCTCGCGCATCCTGCTCCAGCACGAGGACAGCATCAACGCCGCAAAGATGGATCGGGGCTTCACGGTCTTCATGGCCCAGACGGGACCGGCAGGACTACTCACCAGCCTCTACAAAGCAAGCATCGCCTGGAACCAGATCAAGGACAACGAGCCGGCGAAGATCACGCAACCGCTACGGATCACACTGCTAACCCTGATGATCGCGGAGCTCAAGGTACGCCTCCAGAATCTGGAAAAGAAACAGGAAGCCAAGCAACTGGCCATCAGCGCAGGATGGCTCGACCAGCAAGACCGGCTTCTGTACCAAAAGTGGGACGCAGAGAATGCAAAGCTGGTACCTCATCCCACGATGCCGGGTCTCCTGACCTCTCTCTCTGTGCGGTATGCCCAAACCACGTCCGAACACAGCAGAGGCTGAAGCGATTCCACGATCGAGGTGTACAGTTCTACGCGGCTTCGGGTCTAAAATGCACTATGTGCAGGGCTCAGAGGCCACAGGGACATCGGAAATCCCGATTCTGAGCCTCGAAAACTGCTTGCAATCGCAGTCCTGCAGGAATGTGGCTACGCAGCTCCGCAGGCTACGCTGCTCCGCCACATTCCTGCAGGACTGCGATTGCTTCGCGCAGTTTTCGAGGCTCAGAATCGGGATTTCCGATGTCCCTGTGGCCTCTGAGCCCTGCACATAGTGCATTTTAGACCCGAAGCCGCGTAGAACTGTACACCTCGATCGTGGAATCGCTTCAGCCTCTGCTGTGTTCGGACGTGGTTTGGGCATACCGCACAGAGAGAGAGGACCCCAATTGCCCAAGTTTGCCGCAAAATGCCCCAAGAATGCGACAAGATTGTTCCAAGCTTGCTGCGATGTTGCCCAAGTTTGCCGCAATATTGCCCCAAGTTTGCGGAAATCCCTTGCGCAGCATTTGCGCAAGCGCAGCCCCCGCATATTTCAGAACCCGTTTCAGAATCCGCGCTGCGCCCGCTTGCAGTTTTGTTTCGCGCTCTCGCTTGCAGTTTCGCGCTCACCCGAATGGGCACCCGAATGGGCACCCGAATGGGCACCCGAATGGGCACCCGAATGGGCACCCGAATGGGCACCCGAATGGGCACCCGAATGGGCACCCGAATGGGCAACCTGTTGGGGAACCCCAGAGCCTCACAGCACGGACAGGAGCTCCGCGCTGGTGGCCCTGCTCGCCCCGACGTAGAGGTGCTTCACCGAGAAGTGCGGCGAGTCCGTGTCGCAGAGCCACACCCGCCCCCGGAGCGTCAGGCCCTGGCAGGAGGCGTAGGTGATGGCGTGGCAGAGCCGCGTGTGCCGCAGGAGCTCCGCCGGCGCGAAGGCCTGGTCGTCGCTGAGCACGATGCGCTCGCCCACCTCCGACACCGTCGCGAAGCAGCCCTTGGCCAGCTTGCCCCCGGACCCGACGAGCTTCAGCCCGGGCCAGACCCGCATCGATTGCGGCTGGTAAGGATTTGTTGCATAAATGTGTTGTTATCTTTTTTAAGAGTGTTGTTAACTTCTTGCTATTATTCTGGGTCTCGGGGGGGGGGCAGGGCGGGCAGAAAATCTTTTGCTACCATGATTTTTACTATTACTCTAATTTCTTTTACTTATTTAGGTCCGCGATAAATTCAGATTCACAACAAGTATTCAGCATATAGGAAATCAAATATGATGAGGCTGACGCCTCCCCTCAATTTTAAAGTTCCAACCCTAAACCCCTAAGTCCTGACCTGAGGGTCGCAGGGCCTAGGTTTCAAACTCTAAACCCCTAGGCCCTGACCTAAGGGTTGCAGGGCCTAGGGGTTTAAAACTCGGACACAATCGCCAATTCCTGGCGACCAGTCTAGGATCCTGCTAGGACCTTTGAGGAGGGCCTGGGCTGGTCCTAGACTAAAATCGTGATTGTGCTGTTTCCTGCATATATCTGGACGCTTAAGATTCGTTCGATGACGTTGAAATGAGGCTTTCAACTTGCATCAGACAGACCCAGTGTTGCAAGGGATATTTGTTGAAAGCTTGTGGCTGCAGCATGCCCGTGGCCCAATTTGCTTCTGGCTCGGTACTCATTGTTTCCGAATAGAGTTTTTGATGCAGCCAATACAAATAAGCAGGAAATGAAACCGCTTCAGATGCATTGTCATTCTAAGTGTGATTGCTGAGTCATGCTTGTCACTCGCCTCACGACATGCAGCAGGCTTTAGGATTCAGCTTCTCTGCAGCAACACCATGTCGGATGCAGAGGCTGTCAGTCTCCCGCCTTCGGTTGATGACTGCGATGAACGTTCACAGGCAGCTTCAGAAGCTGCGTCAGTTTCTCTGCCGCCATCCGTCAATTCTGATCCCGATGAGCCAGGGCAGGCAGGGCCTTCATCCGGAGCCAAGGTCGCAGCATCTTGTTGCCGGAATGCTTGTCTGGAAACTTGGCGAGGGAAAGCTGAGGAGCTGCAGCTGGCACTGGCCAGCCTGAGCTTTCATGAACGACAGGCCAAGATTTTTGAAGAAGTGAAGCGTGTTGTGAAAGACAACAGTCCTGATGGTTCAACAGGCTCAGGCCGGTTGAAATGGAGCATGTTCGGGGCCTCTGTTTGCCGGATCTTTTGCCAGAATCACTGCTTCCAAAGCAACCCGAAGACCATCGACAAGATGATCCAATATGCTCGCTCTGGGCTCTCAGAGCTCCCGGAAAGGGGGCCAAGACTGCCACGAGAGACTAAAACGAGTGATGAATTAGATGTCTGGTTCCTCGAGGTCTACAAGAATCTGGCAGAGCCTTTAGCGGTGGAAGGGTCTGAGAGCAGTAAACTGGCGACTGCCGCCGGGGAGCAGCATGAGTTGGTGGTCGACGAGACTCATCCCCTGTATGCCATGAGTGTCAACCTTGATGGCAAGAAGTCGGCCGCTGTCCCGAAAAGATTCTTGAACTTTGCCGTGGCCGAGGACTTATGGCGATTCTACGAGGTCGATGTGCCAAAGAATGAGCAGTGCAGTCGAAACACAGTTATGAAGGGCTACCAGCGATGGAAAAGGTTTTTGCCCCTGAAGGACCCTGGTGACGGAACGAAGTGCAGTATCTGTGCTACCTTGGCAGAACGAAAAGCGCAATGCAGCACCAAGGTAGAAAGGGAGCAAGTGAATGTGGACCTCAAGCATCACTTGGAATGTGTCAGGGGAGATCGCACTGTCAACAACCGGACCAACAAGCACGCGTCTGAGAAGACTGTGTATATGTCCAAGGACAGGTACATGAAGGTAATGATCGATGGCATGGACCAGGCCAAATTTTGCCTCCCTCGTCACAGGAAATTGGCAGCGACCAGTGACGCCTCCAAGCGATGGAGACCAGCAATTCATGTCACAGGCGTCATTACATGGGGTCTGCTAGAAATATACTTCATACTCCCTAGCAGTGTCCCCAAGGACTCAAACATGAATGCCACGATTTTGGCTCGTTGCTTGGACATTGCTCAAGAATCATTGGAGGAGGGCCAGTCGCTGCCGGATCACCTCCTAGTCCAGGTTGACAACACAACGAGAGAATCGAAGAATCAGCACTTTGCGTTGTTTCTCTCGTATTTGGCCTCTTCCGTCTTCAAGAGTGTTGAATGTCATTATCTCCAAGTTTCGCACACAAAGAATGAGCTGGACCAGCGTTTCAGCACAATGGCCAGCATCATCAAGCAGGCCGAGTGCATCGAAGATCTTGAGGAGTTACGGGACTACATCAAGTCTCACATGACCACAGCTGAGCATCGGAAGCTCGTGGTTGAGATTCTCCCCAACACTTGGAACTTTCAAGAATGGTTTGCTGTCACTGGCATCCAGCTGAGTGGGCTGGTCTCCACTCACTTCGAACCCTACGCGAATCATGTGTGGCGATTCCAGAGAAGGGCTGACGTTTCGGGCGAGATTGTGTCGGAGCTGAGGAATGTGACCCCGGATGATGGGGACGTGGTGCTCACTGTGAAGCAATTCATGTGCTCGCAAAACCCCTCGCAGGACCCCGTCCTCATGCTGCCCTTGCAAGCAGCACAGAGTTTGAAGGGCCGGTCCTTGACAGCCATGAGCCCGAACCCTTTCGCCAAAAAGACGCTTACGGAGTTTAGGAAGACCGCCAATTGGGTAGCATCGGATCCTTGGCTGCTGCTGAAAGGCCAAATGTTCTTGGAAGAAATCTGCAGCTTGAATGAAGCGGGCCAGACCCACGGCGAGCCTCCCAAGCTTCACTTTGTGTTTGCCGGGGATGAACGTTGTGACTTCGATGATGGCCCCATTTTGGCAGACTTGGACCCTCCGGGACCAGGCCCAGCTCCTCGCGAGGTTCGGGTCGCTCCCAAGAAGCGTGTCATGCGGAGACCAGCAGCGCCCGCCAAAAGGCCTGCCATGATGGCTGCCTCAAGAGCAAGCCCGTCTTGCCCGGCAGCAGAATCGGGAGTGGACCCCCTGGTCGTCTTTGGTCGTCCTGCAGAGTCAGAAGCTGAATCAGAATCAGCTGCTGCTGCTGGTGCCGTGAATGCCGCAGCTGACGCAGACCCTGTGGACCAGGATGCCTCCATGGCAGCCGCAGCTGAGTTACCAGCAGCCGATCCAGGTCCAATTCTTGGAGCAGACCCTGCAGCTCCAGCAGCAGCAGCTGTGGGTCAGCGTAGAGTGATGCACTTTGGTTGCTCGAAGTGTCGGAAGAACCCGGCAGGATGTCCTGGTCGTTGCCGAAAATTCGCAGCCGAAGGCAGGAATGATTATGGCTATGATGAGCAGGGCAATGTAGTTCGCTTTGAGCCTGCCGAGTAGAAAGGACTGACTGATCAGACTCAAAGAAGTTAAGGCGGCGTGTGATATCATCACTTGGCATTGGCTCCACGTCAGACAGCCTGAGCCTGTCGTTTTTTAAGAGTATTCCTGAGACTGTTATCCGCGGGTTTGAGAAAAATGTCGAAGCGGTTTTTCACCGGACCAGGACCAGTGATCGTCGAATGGATTTAATTTTCAGCCGCCGCAATCAGAGTCTCAAACTTAGGGCCTGTTTTTTCCTGAGAAGATGATGACGTCCGTGACTCCAGAGATGGTCTGCGCCCTTGGTGCTGAAATCTCCGCGGATGAGGCTGACTCCCAGCTCGAAGTCATTACGGAGACCTTGCGCATGACGGAAGACTTTTGGGCCCAGAGTCCTCGCTGGGCGCCTCAATTCCACTTTGTGATGTGCCTCTTCACTTGTGTGCGATGCTATGTGGAAAACCGCCCTGCTTCCGGGACTGATGTCCCCTGTTGGCAGCCTCAGAGGACTCACCCTGGCCCATGTCGTGATGTGCCATACTGTGAGCCGACGAAGCTGGAGCTCTTGCATCAGACCCCACACACTGTGTACCACCATCAGGAACACTGCTTGGTTCGGATGGAAGAGGACTCGATCATGA